GGGGTCTAAATACAGCACAAACAACAATTTCCAAAAGACCAAAAAAAGTGAAAAAGTCTATTTTAGCAAAACGCATTTGACTAACAGGTCGAACAACTGATGTTCCTTAACCCTGCTGACTGCCATTGGCGATTGCCAAATAAATTGATCACCAGATCTTACAAAATGGATCTTAATATTAATTAAATACCAAACAGAAAACAATAAACTTGTGGAAAAGATGGTATACCACAAACATGAGGTGCAAAAATTTGTACACCATATCCGGATTTCGACAATTTATGTCTCTTCAGTGATGTTAGGGATCAAAACGGTATTTGGAAGGCCATATAATTTACCTCAATTTTGGAAAGACTCTTGAATTTTAAAGAGTCGAAATAGGATGAACGGATCATATAAACCCGAAGGAAAATATAATACAAGCCCAAACGAAAAATTATATAAAAGTCTTAAATAAAAACAACGTTCAAACCTATGATTGCGTTGGATAAAACCGCAATTTTTATACTTGTGCATGTAAAACAAATTTCGTAGTAGAGGGGTCTAAATACAGCACAAACAACAATTTCCAAAAGACCCAAAAAAGTGAAAAAGTCTATTTTAGCAAAACGCATTTGACTAACAGGTCGAACAACTGATGTTCTTAAACCCTGCTGACTGCCATTGGCGATTGCCAAATAAATTGATCACCAGATCTTACAAAATGGATCTTAATATTAATTAAATACCAAACAGAAAACAATAAACTTGTGGAAAAGATGGTATACCACAAACATGAGGTGCAAAAATTTGTACACCATATCCGGATTTCGACAATTTATGTCTCTTCAGTGATGTTAGGGATCAAAACGGTATTTGGAAGGCCATATAATTTACCTCAATTTTGGAAAGACTCTTGAATTTTAAAGAGTCGAAATAGGATGAACGGATCATATAAACCCGAAGGAAAATATAATACAAGCCCAAACGAAAAAATATATAAAAGTCTTAAATAAAAACAACGTTCAAACCTATGATTGCGTTGGATAAAACCGCAATTTTTATACGTGTGCATGTAAAACAAATTTCGTAGTAGAGGGGTCTAAATACAGCACAAACAACAATTTCCAAAAGACCCAAAAAAGTGAAAAAGTCTATTTTAGCAAAACGCATTTGACTAACAGGTCGAACAACTGATGTTCTTAAACCCTGCTGACTGCCATTGGCGATTGCCAAATAAATTGATCACCAGATCTTACAAAATGGATCTTAATATTAATTAAATACCAAACAGAAAACAATAAACTTGTGGAAAAGATGGTATACCACAAACATGAGGTGCAAAAATTTGTACACCATATCCGGATTTCGACAATTTATGTCTCTTCAGTGATGTTAGGGATCAAAACGGTATTTGGAAGGCCATATAATTTACCCAAATTTAGGAAAGACTCTTGAATTTTAAAGAGTCGAAATAGGATGAACGGATCATATAAACCCGAAGGAAAATATAATACAAGCCCAAACGAAAAAATATATAAAAGTCTTAATTGAAAACAACGTTCTAACCTATGATTGCGTTGGATAAAAACCGCAATTTTTATACGTGTGCATGTAAAACAAATTTCGTAGTAGGGGGGTCTAAATACAGCAAAAACAACAATTTCCAAAAGACCAAAAAAAGTGAAAAAGTCTATTTTAGCAAAACGCATTTGACTAACAGGTCGAACAACTGATGTTCTTAAACCCTGCTGACTGCCATTGGCGATTGCCAAATAAATTGATCACCAGATCTTACAAAATGGATCTTAATATTAATTAAATACCAAACAGAAAACAATAAACTTGTGGATAAGATGGTATACCACAAACATGAGGTGCAAAAATTTGTACACCATATCCGGATTTCGACAATTTATGTCTCTTCAGTGATGTTAGGGATCAAAACGGTATTTGGAAGGCCATATAATTTACCTCAATTTAGGAAAGACTCTTGAATTTTAAAGAGTCGAAATAGGATGAACGGATCATATAAACCCGAAGGAAAATATAATACAAGCCCAAACGAAAAAATATATAAAAGTCTTAATTGAAAACAACGTTCAAACCTATGATTGCGTTTGATAAAAACCGCAATTTTTATACGTGTGCATGTAAAACAAATTTCGTAGTGGAGGGGTCTAAATACAGCACAAACAACAATTTCCAAAAGACCAAAAAAAGTGAAAAAGTCTATTTTAGCAAAACGCATTTGACTAACAGGTCGAACAACTGATGTTCTTAAACCCTGCTGACTGCCATTGGCGATTGCCAAATAAATTGATCACCAGATCTTACAAAATGGATCTTAATATTAACTAAATACCAAACAGAAAACAACAAACTCGTGGAAAAGATGGTATACCACAAACATGAGGTGCAAAAATTTGTACACCATATCCGGATTTCGACAATTTATGTCTCTTCAGTGATGTTAGGGATCAAAACGGTATTTGGAAGGCCATATAATTTACCTCAATTTAGGAAAGACTCTTGAATTTTAAAGAGTCGAAATAGGATGAACGGATCATATAAACCCGAAGGAAAATATAATACAAGCCCAAACGAAAAAATATATAAAAGTCTTAATTGAAAACAACGTTCAAACCTATGATTGCGTTGGATAAAAACCGCAATTTTTATACGTGTGCATGTAAAACAAATTTCGTAATAAAGGGGTCTAAATACAGCACAAACAACAATTTCCAAAAGACCAAAAAAAGTGAAAAAGTCTATTTTAGCAAAACGCATTTGACTAACAGGTCGAACAACTGATGTTCTTAAACCCTGCTGACTGCCATTGGCGATTGCCAAATAAATTGATCACCAGATCTTACAAAATGGATCTTAATATTAATTAAATACCAAACAGAAAACAATAAACTTGTGGAAAAGATGGTATACCACAAACATGAGGTGCAAAAATTTGTACACCATATCCGGATTTCGACAATTTATGTCTCTGCAGTGATGTTAGGGATCAAAACGGTATTTGGAAGGCCATATAATTTACCTCAATTTAGGAAAGACTCTTGAATTTTAAAGATTCGAAATAGGATGAACGGATCATATAAACCCGAAGGAAAATATAATACAAGCCCAAACGAAAAAATATATAAAAGTCTTAATTGAAAACAACGATCAAACCTATGATTGCGTTGGATAAAAACCGCAATTTTTATACGTGTGCATGTAAAACAAATTTCGTAGTAGAGGTGTCTAAATACAGCACAAATAACAATTTCCAAAAGACCAAAAAAAGTGAAAAAGTCTATTTTAGCAAAACGCATTTGACTAACTGGTCGAACAACTGATGTTCTTAAACCCTGCTGACTGCCATTGGCGATTGCCAAATAAATTGATCACCAGATCTTACAAAATGGATCTTAATATTAATTAAATACCAAACAGAAAACAATAAACTTGTGGAAAAGATGGTATACCACAAACATGAGGTGCAAAAATTTGTACACCATATCCGGATTTCGACAATTTATGTCTCTTCAGTGATGTTAGGGATCAAAACGGTATTTGGAAGGCCATATAATTTACCTCAATTTAGGAAAGACTCTTGAATTTTAAAGAGTCGAAATAGGATGAACGGATCATATAAACCCGAAGGAAAATATAATACAATCCCAAACGAAAAAATATATAAAAGTCTTAATTGAAAACAACGTTCAAACCTATGATTGCGTTGGATAAAAACCGCAATTTTTATACGTGTGCATGTAAAACAAATTTCGTAGTAGAGGGATCTAAATACAGCACAAACAACAATTTCCAATAGACCAAAAAAAGTGAAAAAGTCTATTTTAGCAAAACGCATTTGACTAACAGGTCGAACAACTGATGTTCTTAAACCCTGCTGACTGGCATTGGCGATTGCCAAATAAATTGATCACCAGATCTTACAAAATGGATCTTAATATTAATTAAATACCAAACAGAAAACAATAAACTTGTGGAAAAGATGGTATACCACAAACATGAGGTGCAAAAATTTGTACACCATATCCGGATTTCGACAATTTATGTCTCTTCAGTGATGTAAGGGATCAAAACGGTATTTGGAAGGCCATATAATTTACCTCAATTTAGGAAAGACTCTTGAATTTTAAAGAGTCGAAATAAGATGAACGGATCATATAAACCCGAAGGAAAATATAATACAAGCCCAAACGAAAAAATATATAAAAGTCTTAATTGAAAAAAACGTTCAAACCTATGATTGCGTTGGATAAAAACCGCAATTTTTATACGTGTGCATGTAAAACAAATTTCGTAGTAGAAGGGTCTAAATACAGCACAAACAACATTTTTCAAAAGACAAAAAAAGTGCAAAAGTGTATTTTAACAAAACGCATTTGACTAACAGGTCGAACAACAAATGTTATTAAACCCTGCTGACTGCCATTGGCGATTGCCAAATAAACGGATCACCGATGTAATAAATGGATCTTAATTATAAATTTAATACTAAACAGAAAACAATAAACTTGCGGAAAAGATGATATACCGCAAACAAAAGGTGCAAAGGTTTTTGTACACCATATCCGGATTTCGACAATTAATGTCTCTTCAGTGATGTAAGGAATCGAAACGGTATTTGGAAAGCCATACAATTTACCTCAATTTAGGATAGACTCTTGAATTTTGAGGAGTCAAAATAGGATGAACGGATCATATAAACCCGAAGGCAAATATTATACAAGCCATAACGAAAAAATATAAACAAGTCTTAATTGAAAACAACGTTCAAACCTATGATTGCGTTGGATAAAAACCGCAATTTTTATACGTGTGCATGCAAAACAAATTTCTTGTTCGAGGGGTCCAAATACAGCACAAACAACATTTTTCAAAAGACCAAAAAAGTGAAAAAGTATATTTTAACAAAACGCATTTGACTAACAGGTCGAACAACAAATTTTCTTAAACCCTGCTGACTGCCATTGGCGATTGTTAAATAAGCGGATCACCGATGTAATAAATGGATCTTAATTATAAATTTAATACTAAACAGAAAACAATAAACTTGCGGAAAAGATGATATACCGCAAACAAAAGGTGCAAAGGTTTTTGTACGCCATATCCGGATTTCGACAATTAATGTCTCTTCAGTGATGTTAGGAATCGAAACGGTATTTGGAAAGCCATACAATTTACCTCAATTTAAGATAGACTCTTGAATTTTGAGGAGTCAAAATAGGATGAACGGATCATATAAACCCGAAGGCAAATATAATACAACCCCAAACGAAAAAATATAAACAAGTCTAAATTGAAAACAACGTTCAAACCTATGATTGCGTTGGATAAAAACCGCAATTTTTATACGTGTGCATGCAAAACAAATTTCTTGTTAGAGGGGTCTAAATACAGCACAAACAACATTTTTCAAAAGACCAAAAAAGTGAAAAAGTGTATTTTAACAAAACGCATTTGACTAACAGGTCGAACAACAAATTTTCTTAAACCCTGCTGACTGCCATTGGCGATTGCCAAATAAACGGATCACCGATGTAATAAATGGATCTTAATTATAAATTTAATACTAAACAGAAAACAATAAACTTGCGGAAAAGATGATATACCGCAAACAAAAGGTGCAAAGGTTTTTGTACACCATATCCGGATTTCGACAATTAATGTCTCTTCAGTGATGTTAGGAATCGAAACGGTATTTGGAAAGCCATACAATTTACCTCAATTTAAGATAGACTCTTGAATTTTGAGGAGTCAAAATAGGATGAACGGATCATATAAACCCGAAGGCAAATATAATACAACCCCAAACGAAAAAATATAAACAAGTCTAAATTGAAAACAACGTTCAAACCTATGATTGCGTTGGATAAAAACCGCAATTTTTATACGTGTGCATGCAAAACAAATTTCTTGTTAGAGGGGTCTAAATACAGCACAAACAACATTTTTCAAAAGACCAAAAAAGTGCAAAAGTGTATTTTAACAAAACGCATTTGACTAACAGGTCGAACAACAAATGTTATTAAACCCTGCTGACTGCCATTGGCGATTGCCAAATAAACGGATCACCGATGTAATAAATGGATCTTAATTATAAATTTAATACTAAACAGAAAACAATAAACTTGCGGAAAAGATGATATACCGCAAACAAAAGGTGCAAAGGTTTTTGTACACCGTATCCGGATTTCGACAATTAATGTCTCTTCAGTGATGTTAGGAATCGAAACGGTATTTGGAAAGCCATACAATTTACCTCAATTTAAGATAGACTGTTGAATTTTGAGGAGTCAAAATAGGATGAACGGATCATATAAACCCGAAGGCAAATATAATACAACCCCAAACGAAAAAATATAAACAAGTCTAAATTGAAAACAACGTTCAAACCTATGATTGCGTTGGATAAAAACCGCAATTTTTATACGTGTGCATGCAAAACAAATTTCTTGTTCGAGGGGTCCAAATACAGCACAAACAACATTTTACAAAAGACCAAAAAAGTGAAAAAGTATATTTCAACAAAACGCATTTGACTAACAGGTCGAACAACAAATTTTCTTAAACCCTGCTGACTGCCATTGGCGATTGTTAAATAAGCGGATCACCGATGTAATAAATGGATCTTAATTATAAATTTAATACTAAACTGAAAACAATAAACTTGCGGAAAAGATGATATACCGCAAACAAAAGGTGCAAAGGTTTTTGTACGCCATATCCGGATTTCGACAATTAATGTCTCTTCAGTGATGTTAGGAATCGAAACGGTATTTGGAAAGCCATAAAATTTACCTCAATTTAAGATAGACTCTTGAATTTTGAGGAGTCAAAATAGGATGAACGGATCATATAAACCCGAAGGCAAATATAATACAACCCCAAACGAAAAAATATAAACAAGTCTAAATTGAAAACAACGTTCAAACCTATGATTGCGTTGGATAAAAACCGCAATTTTTATACGTGTGCATGCAAAACAAATTTCTTGTTCGAGGGGTCCAAATACAGCACAAACAACATTTTACAAAAGACCAAAAAAGTGAAAAAGTATATTTTAACAAAACGCATTTGACTAACAGGTCGAACAACAAATTTTCTTAAACCCTGCTGACTGCCATTGGCGATTGTTAAATAAGCGGATCACCGATGTAATAAATGGATCTTAATTATAAATTTAATACTAAACTGAAAACAATAAACTTGCGGAAAAGATGATATACCGCAAACAAAAGGTGCAAAGGTTTTTGTACGCCATATCCGGATTTCGACAATTAATGTCTCTTCAGTGATGTTAGGAATCGAAACGGTATTTGGAAAGCCATAAAATTTACCTCAATTTAAGATAGACTCTTGAATTTTGAGGAGTCAAAATAGGATGAACGGATCATATAAACCCGAAGGCAAATATAATACAACCCCAAACGAAAAAATATAAACAAGTCTAAATTGAAAACAACGTTCAAACCTATGATTGCGTTGGATAAAAACCGCAATTTTTATACGTGTGCATGCAAAACAAATTTCTTGTTCGAGGGGTCCAAATACAGCACAAACAACATTTTACAAAAGACCAAAAAAGTGAAAAAGTATATTTTAACAAAACGCATTTGACTAACAGGTCGAACAACAAATTTTCTTAAACCCTGCTGACTGCCATTGGCGATTGTTAAATAAGCGGATCACCGATGTAATAAATGGATCTTAATTATAAATTTAATACTAAACTGAAAACAATAAACTTGCGGAAAAGATGATATACCGCAAACAAAAGGTGCAAAGGTTTTTGTACGCCATATCCGGATTTCGACAATTAATGTCTCTTCAGTGATGTTAGGAATCGAAACGGTATTTGGAAAGCCATAACATTTACCTCAATTTAAGATAGACTCTTGAATTTTGAGGAGTCAAAATAGGATGAACGGATCATATAAATCCGAAGGCAAATATAATACAACCCCAAACGAAAAAATATAAACAAGTCTAAATTGAAAACAACGTTCAAACCTATGATTGCGTTGGATAAAAACCGCAATTTTTATACGTGTGCATGCAAAACAAATTTCTTGTTCGAGGGGTCCAAATACAGCACAAACAACATTTTACAAAAGACCAAAAAAGTGAAAAAGTATATTTTAACAAAACGCATTTGACTAACAGGTCGAACAACAAATTTTCTTAAACCCTGCTGACTGCCATTGGCGATTGTTAAATAAGCGGATCACCGATGTAATAAATGGATCTTAATTATAAATTTAATACTAAACTGAAAACAATAAACTTGCGGAAAAGATGATAGACCGCAAACAAAAGGTGCAAAGGTTTTTGTACGCCATATCCGGATTTCGACAATTAATGTCTCTTCAGTGATGTTAGGAATCGAAACGGTATTTGGAAAGCCATAAAATTTACCTCAATTTTAGATAGACTCTTGAATTTTGAGGAGTCAAAATAGGATGAACGGATCATATAAACCCGAAGGCAAATATAATACAACCCCAAACGAAAAATATAAACAAGTCTAAATTGAAAACAACGTTCAAACCTATGATTGCGTTGGATAAAAACCGCAATTTTTATACGTGTGCATGCAAAACAAATTTCTTGTTAGAGGGGTCTAAATACAGCACAAACAACATTTTTCAAAAGACCAAAAAAGTGAAAAAGTGTATTTTAACAAAACGCATTTGACTAACAGGTCGAACAACAAATGTTCTTAAACCCTGCTGACTGCCATTGACGATTGCCAAATAAACGGATCACCGATGTAATAAATGGATCTTAATTATAAATTTAATACTAAACAGAAAACAATAAACTTGCGGAAAAGATGATATACCGCAAACAAAAGGTGCAAAGGTTTTTGTACACCATATCCGGATTTCGACAATTAATGTCTCTTCAGTGATGTTAGGAATCGAAACGGTATTTGGAAAGCCATACAATTTACCTCAATTTAAGATAGACTCTTGAATTTTGAGGAGTCAAAATAGGATGAACGGATCATATAAACCCGAAGGCAAATATAATACAACCCCAAACGAAAAAATATAAACAAGTCTAAATTGAAAACAACGTTCAAACCTATGATTGCGTTGGATAAAAACCGCAATTTTTATACGTGTGCATGCAAAACAAATTTCTTGTTAGAGGGGTCTAAATACAGCACAAACAACATTTTTCAAAAGACCAAAAAAGTGCAAAAGTGTATTTTAACAAAACGCATTTGACTAACAGGTCGAACAACAAATGTTATTAAACCCTGCTGACTGCCATTGGCGATTGCCAAATAAACGGATCACCGATGTAATAAATGGATCTTAATTATAAATTTAATACTAAACAGAAAACAATAAACTTGCGGAAAAGATGATATACCGCAAACAAAAGGTGCAAAGGTTTTTGTACACCGTATCCGGATTTCGACAATTAATGTCTCTTCAGTGATGTTAGGAATCGAAACGGTATTTGGAAAGCCATACAATTTACCTCAATTTAAGATAGACTGTTGAATTTTGAGGAGTCAAAATAGGATGAACGGATCATATAAACCCGAAGGCAAATATAATACAAGGCCAAACGAAAAAATATAAACAAGTCTAAATTGAAAACAACGTTCAAACCTATGATTGCGTTGGATACAAACCGCAATAACCGTATAAAAATTGCGGTTTTTATCCAAAGCAATCATAGGTTTGAACGTTGTTTTCAATTTAGACTTGTATATATATATATATTTATTTAGAAACTACCCCTTTACAACGGCGGCACTTGCGGACGGAGTATCCACAAATGCGTCTAACATCATATGAAATGAATATATAAAGACAAGTAAAAAATATTCATATGTCATTGTCAGAATTAAAAAATTGGTACATTATAAAATAAGACAGCTTACATAAAAGGAATACACATTATGTACAACATAAAAGTATGAATTAAAGTAAGAGTTACGTAAATCATATTGCATAAAAAAATCACATTTAAGCTTTAGGTTCCAAAACCAATGATCTTTGAGAGTACATTTCGGTCAACATTTTTTTACTTAAACTGTCTATATTTTTGAATCTATCGAAAAAAGTTTAAGAGTAAAAGTTTTAGTTAAATATTGCATCATACAAGCACATCCCATGTTTTGTTGAGCAATGTTGTAATTGATCAAATCATTAAAAAAACAAGATGATGACGCGTGTTAAAACTTGACCTGTTTAAAGTGCTAAAATCAAGGAGAACCGTTTTTGATTGATGATTTAGACCTGACCAAAATGTTCTTGTATATTATACTTTCATAATAAATTTAGACATACAAAAGCCATCTTTTTCTTTTAGAAACAAATTAAAAATATGTGCGTAGCATTCTTTGTATTATATATATGTTAGGGATACCAAAGGGATATGCAAACTCATAAGTCGAAGACAAACTAACAACACCATGGCAAAAAAAAGGGACCAGAAGACAAATAACAGTATAGAAAACACAACATAGAAAACTGCGTAACACGGACCCAACCGAAAACCGGGGTAAACTTAGGTACTCCGGAAGAGTAAGCAGATTCCGCTCCACATGTGACACCCATTGTATTGCTCAGGTAAGTACAACATCTGAGAAAAGTTTACTTCGATGATGACACATTCGAGGAAAAGAGAAACAGATTTAGGCTACGACAATTAGAGTATATCCGTCGTCATCTGTGAAACAGATCCTCCACAACGGTCAACCAACCTTTGATGGCGTCCGTACAATGTTCTAATAACTTGGAACGATAGGTTTATTGCCTTCCCTGTCAGAAGCAACCCTCTATATTGGAACTTATGATAGAAATTGCAAGCTCTGGAATATCGTATCAACTGGGAGATATATAATCCATAAGCAGGCGCTGCAATGTTGCTACATAAGAATGGAAGCTGAAATCATCTGTTGTTGTAAAGTTTTGTTCTTTAAAAAAGATCACAATACCAGGCTTTAAATTGTGAACGCCAAACGGGCGTTTCGTCAACACAATATCCATCAGTGACGCTTGAATAAAAAAAGTTGAAAAGGTCAAATAAAGTACGAAATTGAAGAGCATTTACAGCTAAGGTAATATATTCCTGGGGTAGAAAATCCTTAGTATTTCCAAAAATGCAAAATTTAACCCATTCTCATTGCAATTTCTAGAAGTCAAGATATGAGGCAGATATAGATGTATCTGTTGTAAATTTTATTTCAAGTTAGATCAACAAAGTCACAAAACTTTGCAAAAATTGTACAATTTTTTTCAAATTTAGGGCAATTCCCTTCATTGGAAATGGCTACCTTAAACGAATTTCAATTTTCATTCACAACCGGATAATTGGAAAGCGAACCAAGAATCAACAACCTGCAATCATCTAAAGTACGTTAATTATTATTTTCATAAAGTATGTGAAAATGCACGATGCTTATATTTTAAGTCAATTACAAGTTTTTCATATGTCAGCTAACATGAGACAAATGATACTTTCGAGTCTACAAGGATTGCTTCGTATCTTGATCTTTTCCTAGATATTGGCCAAGATGGATGACTTTAAAACTTTTATCTATGACAAGCGTGATGATTTCAACTTTCCAATTGGCTGTTCCATACCCTCTGTCTTATCGTATGGCGTTTACATATCCCCATACACAAAGATCTGCATTTGGTTATTTGTGTGTTGGAAAATTAACATGAATTGTTTATGAATATGGTAATGTCATAGAGACAGACGAGAGACATCTACCATTCCATTAGGGTATGAAGTCTCATTTTGACTAAGAATTACTGTATTTTTTAAATGAATACACGGTCGTCAATAGTTTTGAAGAAAAAATAATACTAAACCCTTTCGGAGCATGTGAGTTCATCCCTTTTGTCTTCATAGGGTCATGTTGATAATTTTGAATTGTTTTCTCTGTTATATGTTTGAAACCAATGGGAGATCATACCGAGAAGGTAATCAAAAGCTGCAAGTCCCAGGAAAAGGGACTACACAACCGCTAACTGTGATTTGCCTTATGTCTTCTCATTATGGACATATGATTTTAACTGCACCCTATATGCTCTTACTTTTCTAATGTTTAGAACATTAAAAGGAAGTAAAAAATTCTTTAAGTAAATGTAAATAAAGGCAACAGTAGTATACCGCTGTTCGAAATTCATAAATCGATTGAGAAAAAAACAAATCCGGGTAACAAACTAAAACTGAGGGAAACACATCAAATATAAGAGGAGAACTACGACACAACAGAAACCAAACATTAAAATGTAACACACATAGAAACGAACTATAATATAACAATCGCCATTTTTCCTGACTTGGTACAATTAACTTAAAATGAACTGCAAAGCATAATAAATCATACGCAACCATATCAGACTATTTGTTGACTTTTGGACCGTTGTTCACTTTTGTATTATTTAACATCTCCACCAAAGAACGAAGGCTAAACTACGAAAAAAGGAATAAGTTACTAGTAGATGTTATTTTTGCAGCGAAATTACCAGATAATAGTAGAGTTCATTTACTTAATATATCAGAGATCTCAAAGAACGAAAAGACCATCCGTATGCAATAGCATCAGACACATCTCAAAAGTTAAAACAAAACCAGAAAGAATCATATGATTTAAAGAAAAGAGGATATATTGTTCATGAAGGTGACACAGTGCTGGTTAAAAGTGTAGCGTATGACGGAAAGAAATTGAAACGGCCAAACATAGATATTCCAGTTTATACCGGTAAAACAAAATGAAGGGGGGGGGGGGGGGGGGGGGGGGGGGGGGGGGGGGGGGGGATCGAAACAAATATCTTCACAGAAACTTGCTTCTACCAATTAAAAACTATTTTACAAAACCAACCACAGATTGTCATTATGAGGATGAAAATGATGATGAATCCGTCTATACAATTAAAGTTTTTACTTTAAGTACAATTGGTAAAACAGATGCACTACAGAAATCTTCAACTTAAAGCGCTTGATACTAGCCGGACATAGTGTCAGCTGATGAGGCCTCTGCGACCGACCAATGTGGAGATGATTCAGTAGGGGAAGACCTGCATTCAGAAAATGTAGATGATAAAAAATATTTTTAGAAGCGAGAAATGAAATAAAACTTTGTGACCATAGCAAATGAATCTCCAACTGAAGTACATTATACAGTTGAGTCAAGTACACAAAAAACGGGACAATAGGGTCCTTATGAAAACATTCAACATGATAAGTCTAATGCAGATGGTGGTTATTAGGGTAAACCTGTATGGACTAAACATAAATCAGCCCGGATGCGAAGAAGTGAATTTCAACAGGAAAACTAGATGCGAAAATCCCAATATTACATTAGCCGTATTTGGCACAACTTTTTGGAATTTTGGGTCCTCAATGCTCTTCAACTTTGTACTTGTTTGGCTTTATAACTATTTTGTTCTGAGCGTCACTGATGAGTCTTATGTAGACGAAACGCGCGTCTGGCGTATTAAATTATAATCCTGGTACCTTTGATAACTGTTTACACCACTGGAACGATGCCGCTGCTGGTGGACGGTTCGTCCCCGAGTGTATCACCAGCCCAGTAGTCAGCACTTCGGTGTTGACATGAATATCAATTATATGGTCATTTTTATAAATTTCCTGTAACAAAACTTTGAATTTTTCGGAAAACTAAGGATTTTCTTATCCCAGGAATATATTACATTAGCCGTATTTGGCACATCTTTTTGGAATTTTGGGTCCTCAATGCTCCTCAACTTTGTACTTGTTTGGCTTTATAACTATTTTGATCTGAGCGTCACTGATGAGTCTTATGTAGACGAAACTCGCGTCTGGCGTATTAAATTATAATCCTGGTACCTTTGATAACTGTTTACACCACTGGAACGATGCCGCTGCTGGTGGACGTTTCGTCCCCGAGTGTATCACCAGCCCAGTAGTCAGCACTTCGGTGTTGACATGAATATCAATTATATGGTCATTTTTTAAAATTTCCTGTGACAAAACTTTGAATTTTTCGGAAAACTAAGGATTTTCTTATCCCAGGAATATATTACATTAGCCGTATTTGGCACAACTTTTTGGAATTTTGGGTCCTCAATGCTCTTCAACTTTGTTATTGTTTGGCTTTATAACTATTTTGATCTGAGCGTCACTGATGAGTCTTATGTAGACGAAAAGCGCGTCTGGCGTATTAAATTATAATCCTGGTACCTTTGATAACCGTTTACACCACTGGAACAATGCCGCTGCTGGTGGACGTTTCGTCCGCGAGGGTATCACCAGCCCAGTAGTCAGCACTTCGGTGTTGACATGAATATCAATTATATGGTCATATTTATAAATTTCCT